TAAAGTCACAGAAATAAAACTAAGACAGACATCTGACATTCAGTGTTTAAATTCCCTGTAGAGAGTTCCTGTGAGACCAATTTAACAGAAAAATTCTCCCAGAAGAGAATATCTAATATCCTGATCAAAATGTAGAAGGAAGGAAGCAAAGAAGGAAGGAAGGAAGGAAGGAAGGAAGGAAGGAAGGAAGGGATAGGGTCCAGCCCTACTGGGCCTGTGGGTTTTTCTCTTCATGTGCGGAGATGAGAGAGCGTAGAAATAAAGACACAAGACAAAGAGATAGAAGAAAAGACAGCTGGGCCCGGGGGACCACTACCACCAAGACGCAGAGACCGGTAGTGGCCCCAAATACCTGGCTGCACTGTTATTTATTGTATACAAGGCAAGGGGCCAGGGTAAGGAGTGTGAATCACCTCCAATGATAGGTAACGTCATGCGAGTCACGTGTCCATCAGACAGGGGGCCCTTCCCTATTTGGTAGCCGAGGCAAAGAGACAAAGGGAACAGCTTACATCATTATTTCTTCTATGCATTTTTCAGAAAGCTCAACGGCTTTAATACTTTCACTAATTCTGCTACTGCTATCTAGAAGGTGGAGCCAGGTGTACAGGGTGGAACATGAAAGTGCACCAGGAACGTGACTGCTGAAGCACAGCATCACAGGGAGACTTTTAGGCCTCTGGATGGCTACGGACAGGCTTGATTGATATCAGGCCTTCCACAGGAGATGGTAGAGCAGAGTCTTCCCTAAGTCCCCCGGGGAAAGGGAGACGCCCTTTCCCAGTCTGCTAAGTAGTGGGTGCCTTCCCAGGCACTGGCACTACTGCTAGACCAAAGTCTGCTATGTAACAGGTGCCTTCCCAGGCACTGGTGTTATCGCTAGACCAAGGAGCCCTCTAGTGGCCCTGTCCGGGTGTAACAGAGGGCTCACACTCTTGTCTTCTGATCACTTCTCACCATGTCCCTTCAGCTCCTGTCTCTGTATGGCCTGGTTTTTCCTACGTTATAATTGTAGAACAAAGATTATTATAATATTGGAATAAAACGTAATGCTATAAACTAATGATTAATAATATTCATATATAATCATATCTATAATCTATTTCTAATATAACTATTCTTATTCTATATATTTTCTTTATTATACTGGAACAGCTTGTGCCCTCAGTCTCTAGCCTTGGCACCTGGGTGGCTTGCCACCCACAGGAAGGAAGGAAGGAAGGAAGGAAGGAAGGAAGGAAGGAAGGAAGGGAGGGAGGGAGGGAACGAGGGAGGGAGGGAACAAGGGAGGGAGAAGGAAGGAAGGAAGGAAGGAAGGAAAGGAATTGCTGAGTGTTGATAAAGCAGGTAATTCCTCAAATTTCTCAAAGTTTAGAAAATCAGGAAAGTTGAAAGTCAACGTTTGCCCATCATTTTCTGCCAATTACTAGGGATTTGGAGAGTGGAGTTTTAAGATCCTTGTATATAAGATATAAAAAGAGACAAACATGGGTTCCCAAATAATGAAGGAGAGATTGGGAACAGAAAAACCACAGAATTATACAGGCAATACCTTCGTAGACTGGGATTTTCAGATACAGAACATAAAATAAATATCTTAGTGTATTTCAATTTAAGATGATGTGAAGTATAGCAGGCTAACCTACTAAATTACACCAGACTATTAGAACCTGAGGCACACATGGATTCTAGAAACAACAACAACAAAAATAACATGTAAAAATAGCACAAATCCATTGTCAAGGCATCCCCCCTACTTGGCTATCACCATGACTCAATTTGCTTTCTTCATTTTTGAAAGGCTTCTATTTGAAATTTTAAAAATAAACAGGAAAGGAGCATTAGATCTGAGGTTCTAGATTCCCACCTTACCTTCAACAATGCTGATTACTGTTGGTCAGTCCAGGAAACCTAAATGGCTCAGAAGGGAAACGTGGGATTAAAAGGGAAACCAGAAGTAATACTCCCATGAAGTGGCGCAGAAAACTGAAATGGTGAGTTGATTAAAGGAGTCTATTTTGGGTCACAAAGGGACCTAAGCACCTGAAATAGATGGGTTTCTGCTGAACAGAAAGAAAAAAAAAAGGACTTACAGTATTTATTTTATCAGCTTTCTAATTTTTCACTCATGGCTGTTAAGAGACAGGATATTTCCTTGATATTAAGCCTCTGTGAACTGGACCCAGTTAAATGCTTACCTTCTTCTATTCAGAGTAATCTAACAACAGAGGTAAAATTGATCTGAAATCACATCCAAAGACCCTCTGGTAGACACCAATGATGTCTCTCAGGGAACATTCTCCTCCTTCTTCTTTTTTGGGAAAGCATCTCTTGAGAAGTGAAACTAAAATAATTCCCTGTCTCTGTGTTAAGCAATACTAAGACCAAACCAGTTTCTGTAATAAAGTACACTTGTGACATCATAATTTTTAAATCAATATTAATTTTGCATATTGCTTTGTTTTGTAAAACTATTGCACTGGCAATATTTCATTTCAAGCTCAAAATAACATATACTTTATCATTTCCAAATGAGATAAATCAATGGTCTTGAAGGTTAAGTGATACCCAAGGTCACAAAGCCCAAAAAAGGTGAATCTAGCACTCAAAGGACATAAAAACTTTGGAAGCCTTAACATGCTATACAGAACAAGGCTTTTCCTTTAATGATTCTAATATCTTCCATTGTTTAAAATAACCCCTTAGCACCTGGTATTTTCCTTGTCCCAGCAACTTAATACATTTTCAATAGTGCATGTCTACGGCAGTTCATAGTTTATAAAACAACCTCACATTTATTATTCCACTTAATTTTCTCTTTAGTTGGCCACATTGAAGGAGGACATGAAATTTTATGTGACAATTCTTCCTTGATAAAACCAAGCCACAAGCACTCACCTGATATGACAATACCTGCCCTTTTCTCTTGACCAGTGACTGGGTTGTAAAAGCAGCAAGTTACAGGACCATGGGTGCTATTTTTTAGAAGAATAGTCATCTTCAAACGTAATAATCCAGCTCCATCCTGAGAGTAAGATTTTGATAAATGTGGAATTACATTCCCACTGCTGTCTCTCCATGCCATCTGGGCTTGTGGGAACCATCCTCCTGAGGTACACTCCACCACAAACCCCTCTGTGTCGAGAACCTGAACATTAATCTGCACATCCAAGCCTACAGCTGGAAAGAAGAGAGAGAAATTACATTATAGTTATTGGCGTGGACTCAAGAATTGAGAAGTAAATCAGCCTTTTCATTCTCTGTGCCCTATATATACCATAAGTGTAATGGGGGTGGCCACAATTAGAACAAGAATAATACTTCCATCCAAATCCAAGCTAGCAAGACATCAAAAATATTACCTATAAAAGACTGATAATTGGGACTTAACTGTTGTTCTTCAAAAGACCACATGTAAAAAGTGAAAAAAAAAGTCACAGCTAGGAGCAGGCACTTGCAATACATCTGGAAAGTAGCATCCAAAATATATTAAGTACTATAAATCAATAAGACAGATAAACTTTCTGTTTTCAATGGGAAAAATATTTGAAAAACCATCTCATTTAAAAAAATATCCAGGTTACCAATAATTATATGCAAAGATGTTCAACATCACCAGCCATCAGGGAAATACAAAGTAAAACTTTAATGATATTCCACTTCACCCCACCAAAATGTTTTAATGAACAGCACTGGCACTGACATTACCAAAGACTGGAGAGGCTGTAGAGCAACTAGAGCTCTCCTATATGGCTGGCTCCAGGACTGTGAATTGGTTTAACCTCTCTGGGAAATTGTTAGTATCTACTGAAACTCAGCATACGCCTATGCTCATGACCCAACACGTTCACTCCTACTTATAATACATAACAGAAATGAGTACTGATGTATACAAAACAAAATGTTCAAAAATATTCATGGCAGTATTAGTCATAGTAGCCCAAAACTGAAAGTAACCCAAAAGTCCATTCACAGCATAGAATACAAGGAAAAACAAAAGAAGAAATTTCTGCCACTTACAACATAAACAAATAATGGTAAGCAACTGCACACATATATGTGTGATTCCATTTATATAAGTTTTAGAACAGGCAAAACTAATCTATGGAAATAGAAGTTAGAATCTCAGCAAGAGAAGAGCGATATTGACTAGAAAGAGGTAAGATGGAACATTTGGATATATTTAATATCTTGATCTGAGGGGTGAATTTGTGGGTGTCCCTATATGTAAAAATTTATTGAGCTGTGCACTTGAGATTTGTGCACTCCATGTATATAAAATACACTGGAATACAAAAATAAAAATAATTTAATCAATCCAAGCCAGAGCCAGATTCAGCTGGGTGCCCCCATCTCTCAACTGGCTATTTTGAAATTTGCATCGTCATTTCTTAAGCATATAAATTGAATCAAGTTATTTTGGGGGCATAGAATTGTATAAGTGAAAACAATTTAATAAAAATATAAATTACGTGTTTCAATTTTGGGCTGCCACTAATGGCAAGGTAATTGTGACCATCTTTCCTGTTGGAGACAACCCAAAAGGTAGATAAAATACAAAAAGCACCTCATAAAATCGGATTAAAAATACAACAAGATAAAGAATCATTACAGGACTTGAATGGGGAAGTGATTGGAATTCAAGAAGGTTCTAGCTATTTCTGCCCCTGTAGCATTTACTTGTCAGGAAAGGCAGCAAATATTCTAAATTTCCTCTAGAGAACTTCAGGTAGTAAAAGAAGATCAGAATCCTAAAGCTCAAAAGGATAAAGATCCTAATGGATCGACACCACTCCATATCCAAGGGGACAAAAGCCCATTCCTGGCCTTTCCCCATGGATACCTTTGCTGACTTCATACAGGTAAACAGAAAATAATGAGCAAATAACAGACATGTAGGATAAACAAATTTAGAGATCCAATATACCATCTGAGGACTAAAGGCAATAAAATTGTACTGTATTAGAGATTTCTACCAAATTAGTAGATTTTAGCTGCTTTTGCCACAAAAAGGGTTACTATGTGAGATAATGAATATATAAATCTGCTTCACTATAGTAACCATTTTACTGTTTATGTATCCTACAATATCATGTTGTATACTTTAAATACAGAGAATGAAATTTATTTTTAAAATATAGAAAATAATGAGCAGTTTGGAGGCCTCTAGAGGCTGAGCGAAGTGCAGCAAAAATCTCCCCATAGAAAGTGAAGCTATGGATTAGGATCCCATATAGTGCCATCTGAAGTAGCAGAGTAAACAGTACTCAGTGCAGAAAGAAATGTCAGTTATCTCCAAATTGCTGAATCAATTCAATAAAGCCTAATTAAATGTCCAAAGGCTTTGAGTGTATGTGTGTGTGTGTGTGTGTGTGTGATTTGATAAACCAATGGCATAATTTTTATACACATACAAAGAGACGTACAATTGCACATGTGTGAAATTACACATCTAGTAATTTATTTACATTATTAATTTAGAGGACTGCTTGTACACCCACAGCTTGAAGTAACTTACATGTTCTTTAAAAGCATATGGCTAAAATAATTTCTGAATTATCCACACCGTGGAATACTTTGCCATTATAGAAAGAATAGAAAGATTCATATACTGATACAAAATTACTTTCGGGGCCAGGTGTGGTGGCTCACACCGGTAATCCCAGCACTTTGGGAGGCTGAGGTGGGCAGATCACGAGGTCAGGAGATCAAGACCATCCTGGCTAACACGGTGAAAACTTGTCTCTACTAACAATACAAAAAATTAGCTGGGCGTGGTGGCACACGCTTGTAGTCCCAGCTACTCGGGAGGCTGAGGCAGAAGAATTGCTGGAACCCAGGAGGTGGAGCTTGCAGTGAGCCAAGATCGTGCCACTGCACTCCAGTCTGGGCTACACAGCTTGATTCCATTAAAAAAAAAAAAACCTTCAACTCATGTTATTAAGTTTAAAAAAAAGCAAGTTGCAAAAGTATATACATAGTATATTAGCAATTATTTTAAAAGTATCTATTGTACATCTGTATGTTTGTATACACATGTACATATATGTTGATGTACAGTATGTTTATGCAGTATATTTGTGTATACACACACATTTATATGTTAAAAAAATCTCAGGAAGTGGTATCTAAGAAACACATCACATTAGCTGCCCATGAGAGGTGAAATTTATGGTTTCATGGTTATGGAAAAGAAGACTTTTTATCATGGATTTTTAAAATTACTAAACTTTGAATCTTGAGGAAGTTTTTATTCAAAAATAACTATGTAAAGAAAACAAAAAATAAAAAAATCAATTACACTCCTATATCAAAACCATAATCATTAAAACTTTTAACAATAACATCTCATTCGTAATTTTACAAACTAACTATTGAAATTTGACAAAAGATGTGCAAGACTTTTATGGGTAAACATATGAAATTTAACTGAAATAAAATTGAAGTAAAACTGAAAAGCTTAAGTAAGTGTTCATTGACAGGATGAACATTGCTATATATAAAATTCATTGCTATATATAAAAATACATAGCAAATCTCTTAAAATTAGTCTATAAATTCAATTTTATTTCAATCATAATTCCTAACAGAATATAACTTTATAATTACAATTTATATAGTAAAGGGCCAAGGTACTTTTGAAGATGAATAGTGAAGTTGTAAGACATGCCCTATTGTATATTAAGGCACATAACTTGTAGTCATTTAAACAAAGCAGTACGGTCATAGGTCCAGAAGTTATGTCATGACGATTCAACAGAAAATTAAATTAAAAACTCATGAAAATACCCATGCACAGATAAGGACTTGAGCAATGACAGAAGTGCCTGACAATTATTGGGAATATTCAATAAATATATAATTTAATAAGGAGAGACATTGTTACCCAGCATAATGCCTATGTGACACAGCTGAATTTCTACCCTGCCCTAGCTCTACTTATATTCAAGAAACATGGCACCTGCAATAAAAAGTTCCATTGTAACCACACCAGCTGAGACTGGTTAGAACCAAGATGGCAGACAAAACAGCTTCAAAACGACAGCAGGCTTCATTATAATCTCATTTCCATGCAAAATGACACCCCCCCAGAACCATGACAGTTGACAATCATCAACTGGAAGAAGCCATATAAGGACAAAAGGGAAGGCAGCACTCTTACCAGAAATTCACTCTCCAGTTCCAGAAAATACATTAATATTCCTCCCGTTAGTTTTAATGTCCAACTTCTTTATTAGAAAAACCCTATATTTTAATTTCCTCACCCATCACTAATCAAGAAACTGATTTGTGAGCCATGCTCCCACTTCTCAATTCCGTGACCATCGAATAAGTTTACACTGCTTGAAACTGACTTTCAGTTTTATGTACTGGCTTTGTGACACTAAACAAGGAAAGACTCCATCTTTGGCGAGACTAGCTTTGTCAATAACAACATCATTCCCTCATAAATACACAAGAGTAAAATCCATATGGGTTAAGAACTAAATTTGAAAAAAGAATTTTAAGAAAGTCAAGTGTCTAAGAGCAATCAGTGTCCTTCCCAGTCTTTGTAAACCAGTTGGGAGTGGTGATCCCAAAACCAGTCCACCTCCATATGTTGTGCACTCTGGGATGAAGACAGCTGGCAGCTGATGTTCTTAAAATTTGAAGAAAAAACAAAAAAGAACCATAAGAAGTATAATGGCTACTTCTTGGAAAGTGGAAAAGTAAATAGCGCTATTGAGGGGTACAAAGGCGACTTTAACTTAATCTAAAGAAACTATGACAAATTGCTAAGAGTATCTGTGCCACTATATTACTCTCTGTATTTTTTCAAAAAATTCTATTATTATTTTATTATATTTGAAAGTTGTAAATTTTAAAAACTATTCATGAATTCGGGGTCATGGAATTGCCAAGGAAATCTGAAGAGGACTCTCCTGTCCTTACCTGCCACCCTCAGATCCACGATGCCTTCTTCATAGGTGTGGCCATCTTTAAAGAAGCAGTGATACTGCCCACCATCAAAAACAGTGACGTTGTAAATTTGTAGGGTAATTTTGCCTTCTTCTAGTGCATCCTTCAGGAACACTGTGCGATTCATGTAGTTCTGAATGCCTTCTCCAGAGTGTTCTTCCCCATCTTCATACAGGTAAATCATTTGGGAATGGCGATCCCGAAACCAGCCCACCTGCATGAGCTGTGCATTCTGTGGTGGGGACAGTCGGCAGCTGAGCTCAGCCTGGCTGCCGACCATGACCACATGGTGACTCCTAGAGCTACTCACAGTGAACTGCTCTGTGAAGAGTTGAAGACCAAAGATTTAGTCTGAAGACTACAATAGAATGCTCTCCTAGATCCTCTTTTTTGGGATGCTCTGACCTTTCTTCTGATTCTTGATGTTGTTCTGACTTCAGAACTTTGCTCTCAGATATATCTTTACTCTGATGGCAGTGTTTTTCCCCCAGACGCTCATAGCTGCCTCCTTCTCATCACTCAGGTTCCATCTTAAAAAACTACTCCTTAAAGAAATGTTTTATGATCGCTCATTCAACATTTCCCGAAATCACATTTCCCCAGCACATATCACTATCTGATATTTTATTTCTAATTCTTTTCTTCATTTTCTCTCATGACCTATTAATATGTAGGTAATGAAACAAAAGAGTCTCTTTTTTCATTCTTTTTTATATCCTCAGTGCATAAAGCATTACCTGAACATAATAGGCACTTCATAAATATTTAAAGAATGAATGGAGGATGCTCCAATTGTCAAGAGGTGGGATGTGGAACCTGATTACTTTACAATCTTTACTTAAAAAATATACCAGCTACTTTTTCTAATATCAGTTTTTAGTGGGCTAAAAGTGGCCACAACAATTTTTATGCCCCTTCCATGAAGCAAAAAGTATGACTGTTCCTCTTGAATTAGTGTGTTCTGTGATTTCTTTGTTCAGTAGAATGCAGCAGAAGACATGCTGCAATAGTTTCTGGGCCTGTTTTGATAAAAGAGCAGCAGCCATTCTTTCCTGTTGTAACAATATTTCTTGAAGCCCTGAGCTGCCTTATACGAAGTCTGACTACCTTGTGACCACAATAGTAGAAAATCCACATGTGGATATATCAGTTGACAATCTCAGCTAATCCCAACCTTCCAGCCTACTCCACCAAAACGCCAGACACCTAAGTGAAGCCACCTTGAGCCCTTCAGATAATTTCCTCCACCAGCAGATACACCAAGTGACCTGAGTCTATGTCACATGGAGCAGAAGAATCACCCGGGTGAGCCTTGGCCGAAGTTTCTGACCCACAAAATTGTGGATAGAATAAACTGATTGTTATTTTACATCATTAATGTTTAGGCTAATTTGTTCCAAAACTATAGATAACTATCACATGGGTCCTTCCATACCTTTAGCTTTTGCTTCTCTATACTATGTCAAATTCATTTCTGTCTCTGCTAAGAATGTTTACCCCTCTCATCATAAGTAATCTGAATTATAAAACCTAATAGTCCTCTGCTCTAAGAAAAATTTGTGGACAGCTCCCACTCACACTAACTTCTTTATGTGAAGTCCTGCTAATCCTATAAACTTATAATTCATATGGTTACATAAATGATTGTGGTGTGTTCTTAAATATAAGACATATTTATTATGATTTGCCAGTGAGAATTTAAGCTTCTTAAGGAGACATGTTAAACATTTATCTGCGTTGTCTCATAGGCACATCATCGCAACTCTGTGGCATAACAATTGAAATAACATTTCTTAATCTTAAGCTGTTTTAATACTCATTTCTACCATCGAAACTGGAATATAAGGGTAAAATCTGTGAAATAACAGTGAGAAGCTTGCTCATTTTTTTCAGTGTAATTTGCACCATGAAAAAGAAATAGATATCCCTACCTGAGGTGAGTACTGTTATCTGTAAGAGAAGAACAGCCACAAAGTATCCAGATAAAGAGGAAAATGCAGGCTCCATCACACCTGGAAAACAAAACCATAATTACGGTATCAGGAAGCAAGAACCATGGTAACACAGGGAAAGAAAAGAAATAAATAATTTTCAAATCTTGTCTTTTGAGAGAATTTCATTTGATGTGCAACCAAATGAGCTCATCAAACCTTAGGTGTCAGGTCCACTGAAATGATCTCTTCTCCCCTTTCCTTCATGTGTGTTGACTTGGCTTACTACCTTTATCAGGTTAACTGTTCTGAAAGGAACTGTGGTAGACAAGAGCATAAAAAATGTCCAGAAACCAAGCTATGCACATTCCCACACTCACTTGGCCCCACCTGCCCCTTGACCTATGCTACTTGCTTGGCAGAAAGCCCTGGCTGCTGCTCCCAAAATTGCCTCATTTCCTGATGCAAACGATGATTTGCCTTCTTTTGTTGGGGAAGGGCCAGTTTCAGCAAAACATGTTATGGGCATGGTCTGACCTAATTGGATCCATGGAACTTCTGGTTCTACTCACCACTCCCTCATTCAAAGGAAGGTGAGACCTAGATTCCCCAGTAGTTTCCCAGAGTGCCTGGTTAAAATAACTCATTTGTAAAGGGGTGTTAAATGCCTATGAGGTAAAGCTGGATGAATCCGATACAAGAAATAGGAGGAAGCGAGCAGATAAATGCTTCTTCTTTCTTGTTTCATATACTAATTTTCCCCCTCACTTTTGCTACCGATTATTATACCACCATCCCACCCCTCACCAATAGAGTGTTAGTAATAAGTTTAGGCACAAGATGTTTTTCTAGGAGCCAGATAGAGGGGGAAAAAAGACACTGCTAAGATATGGAGGTACACATTTGCATGCTGGATTGCGGGGTATATATTTGTTTTCATACACTCAGTAGCTATGCAAAGTTTGGTTCATGAAGGACCTCAAATACGTCAATGAATAACATGTTAGATTTATCCTCTAGAAAATGGTGTGCATACATGCAAAATATAAATGATGTCATTCCATGGTGAGATTTATGTTTTATAATACAAGAATATAAAATAATGTACCAAAGGAGAGAAAACCTACAGGTTAGATGGCTCTTGCAATTGTCTAATCTATTCATTAAAAAGCAAATGAGATTGAAAAGAATAGAATAAATGAAAACAGTGTTAAATGACTAAAAGAGTGGAAGGACAAGTCACAGAGTTGGAGAAGATATTCACAAATATTCAAATGATAAAGAGTGCATATCCTAATATTTATTTTTTAAAATGTTTAATTATACAAATTATTTTTAAGGGAGCTAAACCAGTAGAAAAACAAGTAAGACACCTGAACAGTTAAGTATAGAAAATAACCAAATAGCAGTAAACATAAGATAAGGTGTAGAATCTCGTTAAGAATCAGGAAAATGCATATTAAAACCATAACCAACTTTGAAGTGAACATATTTGGGAAAAAATAACAATACAACAATAAAAATAATAAAAATTATAAAATGGAGCATAATATTTATATACATTTATGTTGTACTAGGTATTATGAGTAATTTAAAGATGATTTAAAGCATATGGGAGGTTGTACATAGGTTTTATGCAAATACTACATTTTATATAAGGAACTTGAGCAACCACAGATTTTGGTATTCGCAGAGATCCTGAAACAAATCCCTTATGGATACCAAATGCTGACTGTATAAACTTAGAACTTCCATCCAGAATATCCATAAAGAATTCTTATAATTTTATAAAGACAGAAAAATTGACAAAATTGCTTGAGTCGACACTTCACAAAAGAAGATATATGAATGGCAAATAAGACATATAAACATGATCATCATTTGTCACCAGGAAATACAAATTAAAGCCACAATAAGGCACCTCTGCACATTTGAATAGTTGAAATTAAAATGACTGACAATATCAAATGTTGATGATAATACGGAGCAAGCAAAACTGTTGGGTATTTTTGGTGGAAGGATAATATAATACAATTGATACAATGCATTTAGTTCAGTAAGGTCAGCGGAGCAGCACTGTAGCCAGTACACCAAACCGACAAGGACAAAAAAACAGAAGAGGAGGAAAATTGATCAGTAAGCAATCAGTTATTGACCAGAGACCAAAACAGTAAGGGTTTGAGGAGGAAAATTGATTAATAGGCAATCAGTTATTGACCAGAGACCACAACAGTAAGGGTCTAAACCAGCATTTGTTTACATACATGAGGACTAGGCAAATAAGCAAATATTTTTAAGGATAATGACAGCCAGGTGTCTTACAATGTGAGAAAGGAACTACAAATATAGAAAGGAAGTTAGAATACATTCTATGATATTGAGTTGAAATTGGAGCAATTCATATAAAGTCATGGATTTCAATAGCTACAGGTAGATAGAAAATTAAGTATTAAATACATATGTGTGAATAGTTAGATACATAGATATTCTGAGTTCTGTCCACTGGCAGCACCCAGGAGCAATAGCTAGCAGCCAGATCTTGGTCTCTAAATACCACTCCATTCTCAACACAACCAGGTTCTTCCGACAAATAATTGATTCCAGGGTGTGTTAGTCTATTTTGGCATCACTAAAAGAAATACCTAAGGCTGGGTAATTTATAGAGAAAAGGGGTTTAACTGGCTCATGGTATTGCAGGCTGTACTGAAAGTGTGACTTAAATAGAGTCTCTGAGCCTATTTGAGCTCTTTTACTATTCTTGCAATGTTCATAAAAATTTGAAATTGTTTCAAAGTTTAAGTAATAAAAAGCTGTTACTTCTACACAAATAAGAATGTTGGTAAGCTACAGAATTACAGCTTTTTAAAAAGCCATGAGAGAGCTAAGAACACAAAGAAACCTAATAAACCAAATTCCAGAAAGTGAGGACACCTTCCTAGGCGAGAAGAAACCTACAGCTGATTTCACCTCTAGTAAAATTATGAGAGAAAATAGAATCTATCATGAATAGGAGTAGTGCACAATAAGCTAAATTGTTAAGAGTCATATGTGGTCTGGGGGAAGAGCCCCTGCCACAGAGAAAATCTGTGTGTTCCACCAATTCTTTACCATGGAAACTCAATTATTACATGGGAATAGTATACCAAAGGATGCAGACAGAGCACAAAAGGTGAGAGAGATTTTGAGGCATGCAGGGCCTTCCCCAAATGACTGCTGAAGATTCAGGGAAAGACAGATAAAGTGTGGTAAATCTTCCTAGAGACACCCTCATCAGTCACACTACACTGGTCTTCTAATAGCTGAGGGCTGGAAAAGAGAATGGAGAAAGATTGTCTAAGACACGAAAGAGCTAAAGTATGATAGGAGAGCAAAAAGAATTCCTTGGTGAACCAGAAAGCTGGCAATTGAACTGTAAAGCAGAGAGAAAGAGAGAGTTCAAAGTTCAGGAAGATGGCAAGTGGATTGAAGACATCTTTTGCAACTTGCTGGTCCTTGAGTCTTTGACCCTTTTAAGGGGAAGTCCTAATTCCACACTGAAAGACTTTGAAGTAAGTGGTGAAACTGAATCCAACTAAAGCTTAAACTGCCCAAATGCAACTCAAATACAAGTTACATTGGCACAGTTCCCCATATTAGCAACCTGACAAAAGAAGGACATATCCTTTTTTAAGTAGAATTAGCATTAGTATTTACTCTTCATTGTCATGTCAATGTCTGACATACAAGCAAAGTTTATAAGACAATAAAAATTAATAAAATATGACACATTACTAAGCGAGGAAAGAATCAATAGAAGCAAATCCAGAGATGGCCTAAATGTTTAGTTCACCACTTATAAACGTTTTAATAAAACTATAATAAATACAATAACAGATCTATTTAGAAAAGCGACAACTTGCATGAGCAGATGGAAAATTTCTTCAGATAGGTATTATTTTACAAAAAAGAATGAAATGAAAGTGCTAGACATAAAAAGTATGATATTAGATATAAAGAGATAATTTGAGGGCTTAACAGACAGGACACAACTGAGAAAGGAGCAGTGAACTTAAAGAGAGATCAAAAAAAATTATTTAAACTGAAATTAAAATAGAAGGAAAAGCAAAAAAGATAGAAGAAAGCATTTATGACATTAACAGAAAGGAAAAAATTATATGTATGATCATCTCAGCAGAAGTAGAAAATAATCATTTGACAAGATTCAACTCTTACAATAAAACTTTCAAAATCTGAATAAAAGAAAACCCATCCCCTTTAAAATATACAATTTATGATAAAATCAAAAATTAAATACATTTGAATAAATTGAATAAGTGAATATTTTTATAATGAAAACTGAAAAACATTATTTAGAGATATTAAAGATGACCCACATTAATGGATAGATATATAATGTTCATAGATTTAAAGACTCAATATTATTTATAAATCTGCTTTTAATCTATGGATTAAACTTACTCTCCAAATTCAAGTCGTCTTTCTGAGGAAATTGACATAATTTATATAAAATTTTATAGAAAAGGTCAAGATATAGAATATCTAAACATTTTTTAAAATAACAGATTTGGAAACCTAGCATTAATCAATACAATAATCAAAATAGTGTTGTATTGTCAGAGGGATAGTGTTGTACTGACAATGAATTCTTGACAAAGATGCAAAGTACAGAAAGTTCAGATCTATTTCTAGACTCTCTTTTGTTTCACTGATCTATTTGTGGGCTTTTACATCAATAGCACAGTCTTGATTAGTGCAATTTTATAGTGAGCTTCAAAATCAGATTCTCCAACTGAATTCTTTTTCAAGAGCCACCATGCAACTATCTGTGGAATTGGAGAAAAGGCAAATCTTCTAAAAACAACTATTCTCCTGTGGAGAATCAACTTCTGGCTTACTACTAGAGTCTGGTAGAGATCGAATGCCTAATAATGAGACACTAAGTGATCATAATGATCTACACTGGCTAATGAACTGATTGGCCAGCAGGTCAGAATCTTGGAATAAACCAAGTTGGAAGATTAGTGACAGGCAGTCTTGGGTCATGAGTGAATGTGCTTCTCAAAATGAGCACAAAATCTTGA